ACGAAGGACGAAGGAGCCGAAGAAGCGACGCGTGAAATCTTTACACCTCCTGCGAAGCAACGAAGCCGAAGAGGAGATGAAAGGCAAACCCGATACGCCTCTGAAGTTATTACTGCTTAACTTAATTAATATAAGTTAAAATAATAATAATTGAGTAAATTAATAGTATAATTAGTTCATAAAATATTTATCTAATTTAAATTAATTAAAAAATTAATGATATATTAATAATTAAATATAATATCATTAGCTTTATTAATATAACTTAAAAAATATATAATAGGGTAATTAATAGTGTAATAAAAATTAATAAGTAATTTGAACTTAATAATCTTGATAATCATACCATTTAAATCTTTAACTGTTTTAAATCTTGTAATCTGTTGTAAAACATCTTCTCTTGATTTAACAGGATTTAAAATACTTAGTTATTTCAAAATAATTAATAGGATTAAAATATGATCTTAAATAAAAAAAATTATTATAAAATATTATAAATAATAATAAATAATTAATTAGTATTAATAAAATTTTGTTATATTTTATTTAAACTTTTTTTGTCGTGTTTTAATTATCTTAATAAAATATGTCAATTTTTTAACCGCCTTAAATCCTAAAATGAATAGCCAAACAGTCACAAAGGATTTAACTGGATTTATCATGAATGTTACCAAACAGTTTTCAGGATTTAACCCCTCAGGATTTCATAAATCCGGAATTTGAAGAATTTACGAAATCCACTTAAATGAAATCCTAAATTCTACCAAACAGCCCCTAACCCTAACGTCTCTCATATAGTCCTCTTCATCACTCTACTCGGTTGCTTGATCATAATCTTAGCTCAAGCTCTTCGGTTCTCCACCTCTCTCTTTACACAGCGGTGCGCTGTCTCCACGGCTTAGAACGATGAAAAGCGCTTGGAAATCGCTTTACCCTCAAATTTCTGCACATCTGCGAACGATTGGTTTACCCCAGGTAAGGCCCTCGGAACATAAAATACCTAAATTCGTTCATTCTCTGGTCAGCCTTGGTGCTGTTGGGAACCTTGAACGCCGTCATTTCTCGTCGGAGCCGGCCATCGAGCGCAAGGACCCCGATCTCGCCTTTTTGGCTGATATATTTTCTAAGCCCGTCGAATCTAGCGAGATCCAGGCCGAGCTGGAATCCCGCTATGTTTTTCTGGATCGAGATACCGTATATTCGGCACTTCAGAATCTGGAAGGTAATTTGGAAACCGCTCGGAGGTTCTTTGATTGGGTATCTGATAGAGATAGTCAGATTTTGAGGTCAAAATCTTATAATTTGATGCTTAGAATTGTAGGAACCAATGGGAATTCAGGTGAGTTCTGGGACTTGGTTGAGACCATGAAGAGGAAAGGCTTTGGGATTTCCAAGGAGACATACTTGAAGATCCATGAAAATCTTGTAAATGGTGGAAAGGAGGATGACTTTGGCACACATTTAAAAGAAGTGTATCTCTTTAATACTGATCAACATGTTGCTGCGAGAATGTGCCCAAAGATATGTAGGATACTCGAAAAAGAAGATCCAGCGGAAATTCAGAAGAATTTACTGAATCTAGACATTTGTTTATCATCCGATTTGATTGTTTCTGTATTGGAAAGAATAAGCTCCAGTCCACAAAAAGCTCTGGTCTTTTTGGAATGGGTTAGAGACGTACAATCGTTTAAAATAGATGGTACTCTTTACAATGCAATTGCTAAAGTTTTGGGTCGAGAAGATTGCATTAAGGAGTTCTGGGCTGTTCTTCATAAGATGAGGAATGCTGGATATAAAATGGAGAAAGATGTATATTTTACAGTCTTGGATAGGTTTCACAAGAGAAAAATGGTTGCTGCAGCTGTGGATTTGTATGAGTTTGCCATGTCTGGTTCAGAAAAGCCACCATCTAGTGATTTCCTGCACCTTTTAAAAAAGGTTGTTGTAAGCAAAGATTTGGACTTGGCTTTGATATCAAGGATTGTTAGTATTTTTATCAACTCTGGAAATTCCATCAGCACATCAACTTTTAATGGTGTACTGAAATCACTTAGGAGTGTTGGCAGACTGGGAGAGTGTGGCAACGTATTGAAGGCCATGGAAGAAGGGGGCTTTGTAGCGGATAGTTCAATACATAATCAAATAGTTGTAGGATTGTGCACTGCTGGAAGACTTGACGCAGCTTGTGAGTATGTGAAGAGCCTGGAAAAATTTGGCCCTGTTCCAAATCTTAAGGCCTGGGCATCTTTAGTTCAAAACCATGCTCTAGCTGGTGAACTTGACAAAGCACTATCTTATTTTCATGAAATGGTTGAAACAGAAGGTTGTGGACATGAAGAAGGTAGCGCCTTTGAAGTATTGGTCAATAGGCTTTGTAAGAAGAATAGAAATATGGATGCTTTCAGGATTCTTAAAGAGATGGTCATGAAGAAGAAATATCGACCCCTGCAAAGCACTTATAAGTTTCTCATTGAAAAGTTGGTAAATCAGTGCAGTTTGAAAGAAGCTACGAGCCTTATTGAGTTGATGAAAGGGCAAGGCTTTCCACCTTTTGTGGAACCATTTATTGTCCATATGTCCAAGTCGGGCTCTGTTTCTGATGCTATGGGATTTTTGAAGGCAATGACTGTTAAGGAGTTCCCATCTAGAGCAATCTTTCTACGTCTTTTCAGAGCTTTACTAGAGGCAGGGAGACACGAAGTTGCACATGATATACTTTCCAAATCACCAGGTTGTGTCCGTAACCATGTGGATGTCTTAGATATTTTCTTTTCTATGAAGCCAAGTGAAACTGCGCTAGCTTAATGCTTATTCACTCTTAGGTTTTGCTTGGGACTTTCTTACTGCTTCTTAAAGCAACTTTTTTAGTACAAAATTAAATTTTTTGCATTAAAAAGCTGCTTTAAGAAGCAAAAAGAAAGTCATTCCAAACGAAGCCTTAAAAGCAGCGTTCTATTGTCCCCATCCCCTTGGTTATGAATTAAAATTATTTAACTTTGGCTAACACGGGCTTAATTAATTGAAGAGATTGATATAATTGCTTGTTTTTTTTTTGTTCCGGTGAAAAAGTAGTTGTTAGGTGCAACACCCTTTTAATTCCTTTAAATTTAAATTCAGTGCCACCAAAATAAGGAGTTGTATTGATCATAGGAAGCTTTCATAAGTCCTTTAATACAGTTCCTTAGAGGCTTAGACAGTTTTTTTCTAAATTTGATATCGAAAATAAGCTTTTTTGGGCCAAAATATAAATATTTACTATCTATGAAGTATTTTCCTCATCAACCTAAGTTGTATATCCATATCATTTATGTTACGATTGCTCATCAATGATTTGATGATAATAAATCTCATTTGGACATCTAATAACTTATTGATCTTATAAAATTATTAAGTTATGATAGAATTAGGACTTTCACTTATAAAACTATCACTGTATGACTAGTTCTTTGTAGCCATTAGTAGTTAATTATATTTCCTTTTTTGCGTTGCCAATAGTGATATTTTGTGTTGATTTCATCTTTATTCATTTCTTGTGTATATTATATTTTTTAATAGCTTAAATATTGATTATCTCACCCAAAATTAAATGTAACAATTCGGAGAAATTTTTCTGCTTAAAAGTTCATCTCAAAGAGATACAAAATGTCATCATTGTCTTTTTTAGTACAATTGGTGTTAACACCTTCCTCTCTGAGGTTTCGTTTGGTGCAGCTTTTTTGTTGCTTCTTGCAACAACTTTTCACAATTTTGTACTAAAAAGTTGTTTTAAGAAGCAGGAAGAAAGCCATCCCAAACAAAACCTTAATCTCATGTGCTTTATTTTGTTGGGTACTCTTATAGTGTTTTTATATATTTGTTAGTCATAACATTGCTCGCCACCTATGATTTGGAAGGCTTTGAATTGTTTCCTCTGCGTCTTGCTAAGTATTAGATTAGATTGGTTGTTGTATTTTTCTATAATCAAGGTAAGCATGCTTTTTTCCTTTGAAAGAAGAAGGTATATCTGTTTGTCCATCGATTTTGAGGGTGCCATGATGGTTTCTACATAGTCTTGCAAGCCAAGAAGTGATTGGTGATGAAATCTTAAACAAGAGAGTTCTTGGGCAAACGTATAGATTGTCTATAGCTATATCTACTTTACATTGCACTTAACTTGTTGTGCACGCTTACATGAACTTTTGATGTTCGAATGTTTTGCGATCACAAGTCTGTGTTATTGAATCATCTTGATATTGAGTTTTATATTGCTATACTTGCTTAGTACTGTGCTATTACTAATACCATTAGTAGTATATCTAGTGTTATTCAATAAATCTTGTTCTTTATTCTTATATGGTGAACACCTTATGTTTGATGTTCGTATGCTTATATAGTGGTGCAATCCCTACGCTTGTGATTAAGATTATCCATTATATGTAGTCAATAGCATTATACATCTTTAATATCATCATCATCTTTATTGTATTTTCTTATTTTGTGTTGCTTAGTGTTTTGATTTTTTCAAGTGCTTATAGCTTGCATGTTTGAGTAGTATCACTAAACTATGAAGCAGAACGCTTGTTGATTTTTGTTCTTGTGATTCTACCTTTTAATTCTTCATATATCACGCTTTTCTATGATTCTAAATTTAGGCTTCGTTTGGAATGACGTTCTTATTGCTTTTCAAAGTAATTTTTTAGTACAAAAATTTTAAATTTTTAACTAAAAAATTGTTTTAAGAAACAGTAAGGAAGCCGTCCCAAACAAAGCCTTAGGCTTCTCTAAAGCTTCGTTTGGGACGGTTTTCCTACTGCTTTCTAAATATAAAATTTTTATTTCAAGAAATTTTTGTATTAAAAAGCCATTTTATAAAACAATAAAAAAGCTGTCCCAAACAAAGCCTTGGGCTTCATTTGGGACGGCTTATTTATTGCTTCTTAAAGCAGCTTTTGAGTACAAAAATTTTAACTTTTATACTAAAAAGTTGATTTAAGAAGCAGTAAGAAAACTGTCCCAAACGAAGCATTAATCACATAATTTTCATGAAAGTACTTCTAAATATTGTAATATAATTCTGAAACCTTTCCACTTAAAACTAGCTATGACTTTTATACAAGTTGATCATCTTTTTTTATATACAGGTGTTATTGTTACAGGTTTGGTGCCTATTCCTTTTACTCATGTTCCAGTCCACCAATCTATATGCCTTTACTTCTTGTGCTACTTAGAAGAAAGTTTTTTTTCCCCCCTTTTTTGTTCTGTTTTGTATTAAGGAAGGTGTTCTATGCATACTTAATGGGTCAAAAGTATCTTTTTAGTTGTTTGATTAAATGTTTGTAGTAATGTTTAATGTTCTTACTATTTGTGTACAATTTTGGTTAATTATATCAATTTGAGATCATGAGTGTATTAATAGTAGGGTTGTAAGTGAGTCAAGCTGACCTGTGTTTGGTTCGTTAAAGAGTTATCACTAGTTGAGCTTATCAAATCACTAGTTTGAACTCGAGCCTATACTTTGTTAAAGGAGCTTAAGTTCAGCTTGGCTCGGCTTGTAAGCTCACTGAGCCGCTCAATTAATTTAAATTAGCATATAATATATTTTAACTTTTTTTCTAATTCTAATTCTTTTAAAAAAAAAATCTTAAAGGGAAATTTGGTGTTTGTTTTAAGGACATCAAATTTTTCATTGTTCTCTTTGCAATTGAGTTGCTCTTTTCAAAATTAATATATGTGAATTAATTATATTATATGATGCATATTATCTCATATGATTATATTTAAATTAAAATTAAAATTGTCATATAAATTTGTTTTTTAATTTAATTAAATCAATAATTATATTGTTTATATGATATAATGTATATTAATTTTTTAGTTTTATCTAATTTAATGTAGTAGAGGGAATTAATGGATGAAATGATGCACATTAAATTATATTGATCTACTATACAATCTTATCTTGCATAATGGGAATCAATTTGCTTGTATTCTTCATCAACAATATATAATATATTTATCTTAATTTCTTCCCTTTAAATTTACTTAAAATTATTTACTAAATTTTGTATTACCTTATCATATTATTATCTTTCAAAATTTCTAAGTTATGTATGTAGCTCAAATATCTTTCTCCTTTTTCATTTGTAATCACAAACGTTCTTCCTCTCCACATCAAAACCAAATTATAGGATTTATTAATTTAAAGTCAAAATTTAATGTAAAATTTACCATTGAAACCCCTAGGCTTTGAGATTGGACAATCAACCTCATTCACATGCTTGACCTAAAGTCATGCAACCTAGTCGACACAACTTACCCTTTTGTGTCTAATCGCAAGCTTGCGATTTTTCTGCTTGAATGCCACAACTAGTTCACATCATTTATTGACGCCGCCCTAACTACGCGAGAAATTATTTGGTGTGGAGACCAGACGTAGCTCTACATCCGGACTCCAATTAAAATTAGACACGTTGAAGTGACAAGACATAAAGAAAAGTTAATTTACATGTTTAGTTTTAATTGGAGTCTGGATGTAGAGCCATGTTTGAACTCCGCTCCAAATAATTTTTCTCACGACACACACCAAATTTTGCTTCCTCATTATCACATACTCTCTCTCTCTCTCTCTCTCTCTCTCTCTCTCTCTCTCTCTCTC